CAAGCATACGTTTGCAGCACATGATTCAACTTCGTTTTTTGCAGAACAGTGCCATATGAAACCCTTGGATATCTAGAGGGTCGCATCCGATCTGCGACCATGGTCTTGCAAAGCAGTTGGTAGGAGCGCAGGCTGTGCCATGGGAGCCGAAAACTCACGTGCTCGTCCAATCGATCATTGCGTTGGGAGTACGGACTTCCAACCTCCGGCAGATTTTGACTACCTCGTCTTTGAGACAGCTCCTTTCGCTCACGGCAGTTGCCGCGAGACGTATCGGGGGCAGATCTTCTCGAAAGAAACTGTGCAGACCAGGAGGAATGTTCCTGTCGGCGGGGGAGACTGGATGCCCAGTGACTGTAGATGAAAATGTAGTATATCCCTGTGTGGTGAAGATGTTCAAAAAGCAGCATGTGCGCCAGGCTCAAACGTGGAATCAGGCCTTGTCAGCTTTGACGCTCAGCCGTGAGTTGAGTGACAAGTTCAACAAGGTTTTCGTGTCTCAGATGGACAGAGCACACAAGATCAGTTTTGCAAGGGCCGTGCTGTTCCAGGTAAGCGATCGTGGCTCAACCCACCATTTCGGCAGTCGAAGCCTGGGGACAGGCTGCTTGGCCGGTCTGTCCACTCGTGTCATATTAGCGGTTGCTTTCCCAGAGGCCGTGGTGCCATGTACCCTGGTCTCGGCAGCAGTATCGCTAGTGGGAGGTGCTGTCAGCATGGATGCGACACCAGCACGAGTGCAGAAGAAAGAAATAGTTTGCGTCGAGCCCTATCTCGACGGCAGTTTTGTCAAACTGAACAGCAACTCTGGACACTGGAAAGAAAGCAAGCGTGCAGAGGTGGCCCAAGCTTTTTCTCATTGGACTTGGGCCGAGACTAAGGGCAAGAAGCTGGTCTGTGATCTGCAAGGTGTACAGCAGAAAGATGGCACTTGGCTCTTCACGGACCCAGCGGTCCACACGCTTCAAGGAGGCTCGGGCCCCACCGATCTGGGCTTTGCTGGAATGCATGCTTTCTTCTACTTCCACAAGTGTAACGGGATGTGCAAAGGCCTGCCCAAGCCTGATATACCATCTTCTCCTCCTCCATTTCTACGGTGCCGGTCAGAGACCACATTCTCCTGGGAAGTTGTCGATGCGTCAATTTGTGCTCGTCAGCAAACCGGAGGCACCTGCTATGCCCATGCTTCCGCGACCGTCATTCGAGCAGCAGAGACTCGCATTGTTGGACGCTGCCCTGAGGATCACGACAGCATGGTGGAGCGTATCGTCGGCAAGTATGGCAAGAATGGTGCAGACCCGACGGATGTGTTGAATGATCAATGTCCGAAGCTCCGTCTTTCCCACCACGTCTTATGCCAGAGCGAGGCCGAAGCAGCGGTACAACGAGGACATGCAATTCTGGCCGCCTTCTGGCTCACAGAGGTGGGATGAGAGGCGTTCGCCAGTTTTTTCAAAAAGAACCCAGGGAAGGTTCTGGATCAATTGCCTTCGCAGGGCAAGCATGTTACCAGCGGCCATGCTGTGGTTATCGTCGGACAGAAGCCGAACGTTTGGTTCCTCAAAAATTCATGGGGCCCCGAGTGGGCTGACAGCGGCTACTTCCGGATCCGCAAGGACGTCTTTCAAAGATATCCGGTATCACCACGTCTATTTCCTGGAGAAAAATCTGACTGCAAATGACCGGAAGGCATACGAACGGGCTCAGGCTTAGTATAGGATTTAGGGTTCAGCTGGTCGTGCCACACCTTGCGACGTGAACGGCAAGCGAGCTCAGACGGGCTGGACTCGAAAACGGCCCAACTAAATTCGGTATTTCACTTAGGAGTTGAGGTTTAAGGCAACTTCTCTCACCAAGAAGCCAGACTGCGCTTCAAAGGAGGCGCTGGTTATTCACGCTTGCTGAAAACTCTGGACGCGCCGTATACCCCCGGTCTGCATGGGGCCAACTTCTCTGCACCCGAACAACTCCTATTCAATTCTGGAAGTCAAAGCTACGAAGAGAAGTCCAGGCACAGGCCGCCCAGAAGCAGCGGCAGCCGACGCTGCCGCCGGCGCCGCCCCCTTCGGCGCCTCCGCCCCCGCCGCCAAAGCCGCGGCTGGAGAGCCAGGCAAGTTTATTTCTATGCTCTCGGGTTCAGGTTTCGGGATTCGAAAGGGTTGTTCAAGCTGTGGGTACGTTGCAGATTCGTTCACAGTTGGCCCTAGGACATGTTGGAGCATCAGGATAAAAGGTGCATAGGCTTTGGGGCTCTGGAATTGAGGATGTAGGGCTGTTGGATTTTGGTTTGGGGTTTTTAGGGTTTAGTGCGTTCGGATATCTGTTCCAGGCCAGGGTTTGATCCCAGGGATTCCGGTTTTCGGGTTGGTGTGCACTACAAGTTTATCCGTGCAGATATCTTACACCCTGCATGGGCAACTGACAGGTCGGGGCAGTCTAAGCCTCAAGGGCAGGCGTTGAATCCTCCATCCCGGACATGTCTACTCCCTAAACTCTAGAACCGAATGCTGCTAGATTGATCTCAACATTTACGCAGACTTCAAGGGCTGCGGCCAGCGTCGGATAATCTCTTATGCAAAGTGTCAGCCTCGCATATAGTAGCCCGGATACTGATTCCTCCGGGCTCAGGTTGACATTCACAACCCACCGAAACCTGGATCTGAATAGTTTCAAGTTTATACCACATTAGTCTGACAGGTCCCATCTGAGGCCCATCCACAACGCTGATCCTGGCATGACAGCATTCTGCGAAACTGCAGGAGTTTCGAGTATGAGCGTTGCGGGAGTTGAGTTGAAATCTGACAGCCTCATATCCCCCGGCCAGACACAGAGCGTGAAGCCCCGAGCAGCTGGGAGCTTCAGAACATCCGCAGCCCTCATTGTCGACCCTGAATCGTATGAGCCTTCGCGTAAAGACGCCAACTCCGTATGGAGACGCCCACCTTCAAGCAGCACCCATGTGCCGTCCTGGGGCAGGTGGAAGTGATCCTCAGTGATGAAGACAGGCGGCCACCTTGCTTGTGAGGGGTCTTGGGCCTTGGGGGTAGGCATTCCAGGAGGTGGTCATGCTAATATAGGGGCCTAAATAATTACCTATACTATTTTGGGGGTTCCTTACTATAATAAGTATATAGTATAAGAAACCCTAAATCCCTATTCTAATGATTAAGGCCCCTACACTACTCATCCAGAAGCCAGTGCCGAAGCCGGGGAACCTGAGTCTGCCTCTTCAGCAATTTCAGGCTCTGGGATTCATGTAGGGGCCAGGGGTTTGATAGTTATAGTAGAAGATACCCGCAAACCCTATTCTATTTGTTAGGGCCCTATAGTACATTTTGTGACGCAAGGCTTTGGTTTCTGCTTGAACGCACTGGGTTTAGCATTCTGCAAGCCTGCATGGGCCCCAGAAGTCAGTAAGTTAGCAGTTAACCAGCTTAGTCTCCCGAAAGGGTCAACCTCACAGGAAGGCAGCCGTGCTGCTTCCATGGGATCTGAACCAAGCTTAAAGCCCCCATCGCCTCAACGTCGAACAGTAATGCAACCAAAAAGCTGCCAATGAGCAGCCCTAACGCCCTAAGCTCCTGAGGTCATGCTTTGCAGAGCCCAGGACCTTCCTACAGAACCCAGCCTTTACGTATGAATCCTAAGCCAAAACAAGCAAACCCTAAGCCCTAAACCCCTAAACCCCTAAACCCGAAATCCTCTTAAGCCTTACTCCGACACCAAAATGCCCCAGTTGTTTCCAGGGCCCAGCTCGAACAGCGAGCTGAGGCCAGGGTTCAGAGTTCCTCAGTGGGCTCAGAGGGTTACAGGGTTCCCAGGGATTAGGGATAGGGTTTAGGGTTTAGGAGGGTTACTGGGTTCAGGGATGTTTGGGTTTGAAAGATTTTGAAAGGGTTACAGTTAAAGGGCTTGGGGTTGTCAGGATTTAATTAGGTTTTGGGGCAGTTTTGGGATGGATTTGGGTTCTTTTTCGGTATTTAGCGGAAAGGGGGTTGCTTCCCGCTGAACTCATTTTCGGATCAACACTTCTTTGAAGTGATAGTGCTGATCCTGGCGACATCGAGGGCACCCGAAATTCAATCCCAGCCTCCTTGCAGCTGCGCAGAGTTCTGGGCGGGCTATCCGAAACCTTGAACTACAGCCGAAATCCTAGACTAGACTAGACCCTGAAAGGCTAAACCTTAAGGCATGAACCGCTGAACCCTACACCCCTACATAAGCCTGTGAATCGCTGAACCCTTGAAGCCTAAACCCTGAACTCCGAGTCCATATGTGCCCCAATCCCTGAGCCCGTACACCCACGGTTGATGAAAAAATGCTGCATTACCCACAATAAGAGTATACTATACCATGATTCCCATAGTTTAGGGTCCTTAGGTTAATGCAGGATTTCGATCATCAACAGTATCCAAAATGTGTTGCAGGAGATGGCCTTGAAATCACTGGCGGCACTTCCCGAGGAAGCTTCTGTGTAGTTTAGAGTCCTGGGCTTGAAATCTGGAGCTTACAGTCGGACTTTCACAGCGGGTGAGGGTTTCGGTGCCGATTCTTTTTGGTGCTGGGGCTTTTTAAAGGTTACCCGGTGAAGTCTGACGCTTTCTTTGGTAGGAAGAAGGATGTTGAGGGCTTTTGGATCACAGCCCCTCAGGACGATTTTCGGCGAAACGCCCTGTGCGCTCGACAAATGCACCCAAGGCTTTGAAGTACCCTGCGTAACATCCCCAAAGGTTCGAAGAGCTTGCGCGAGCCTCACAGGCTTAAGCCTTTAGGGTTGGGGCTCCCTAAGTTTTAGAGTCTTCAGACTGCTGCAAGCAAGCAGCCAACTGAGCAGAAAGTGCCTAAGACCCAGGCCATTTCACCCTGCACCTCGCTCGCACACCTTGAAATACCCAGCACCTCCGAACCCCGACCGACACTGTAGACCCTTGATAACCTTCTGTGAGGGCCTGGATGTTTGGATCCTGGACCACTCCTTAAACGAAGGCAGTTTGTCCTTCATGAAGGTGTCTATATAACATTTTGCGCGAGGTATTGGGAAAGAGCTTTGGAAGAACATATGAGCATCGTTGATGTCGAGGCGACCAGGGGCGCGAAGCTGCCGGCCGTCAAAGCTGGCATTCTGAAAAGGCGGCTTTTTGGGGGGAGTCTAGGGATTTTGGGGCTTGCGCGTACTTTAGAGCTTTAGTGGGTGAGTGTTGGGCGTTCTTTGCGTGTCTTTGTTGTTTTTGTTTGTCGGCTGGTGCCCGAACAGTCGTATCTTTCAGACAGATGCTGGAGACTGTCTGGATTAGCGCAGTGCTTCTCTTGGACCTGTATTGCAAGCGACCTACACCCCGACCCACGGACCGGGAATAGGGCCTTTGAATAGGGAGCTCAGCGAGTGGTATCTGTTCCCTTTTGATACTCTTCACACCTGTATCGTGTGAGAAGTACACTACATACAACACAGCCCTGAATTTTTAGGCTTGTGCCCGAACGGCTGTACCCTTTGGTGGGTTGCGAGTCTAACCTATGAAGCTCAGTTTAATCTGTGTTCGCTCGTGCTACTGCCGCTTCATCAGTCCCAACCGTATGTGCCGTAGTGCACTGTTGCTTATCGTGCAAAGCTGCAGTGGCGATTCCCATCCCGGTAACCACCACGACAAATGTCGGCATCTTGTACTGCCGGCAAAAAGTGTCAACCTTCTCTCTCTCTTTCTCTCTCTCTCTCTCTCTCTCTCTCTCTCGCATTCTCGATTCATCCTTCTCTTTCTCCTTCTCTTTCCGTCCTGTCTCTCTCTCTCTCTCTCTGTTTTCTTTCTCTCTTACTTCGTGCTGCAGTTTGGGTTCTGGGGCTTGTTTATCCTGTGTTCTCTTTTCGGGCATTGTCGGTTTTTGCTGCCCTCAAGCAGGTTTCACGCTTTTGGGGGTTGCTTGTTTTCAGGTTCAGCATCTAGTAGAATGGATCTCAGTCGTGAAATCCAAAAACCAAGCCCGGAAGCCTAGCAGGGGCGAGGGCTCTGGACACGAGGCTGTTGAGCCAAGCGCAGAAGGACCTGCCGAAGCCCGTGGAGGCTCAACAGGCACGGCTTCAGGATCTCACAAAGTTAATGAGGATTGGATTCTCCGAGGCCCAAAATCTCAGAACCATAAACTTGACTCAATTCCCTTAGGGGTGTCGAAGGGCGAAGCCTGAATCAAGTACCTATTTAACCCGACATCGCAAGTTGATAGTTTTGTCTTCGGGCCTGGTTAAGACCGCAGGTCTCGTGACGGTCTCGTGTGTATATCTTCCTATATGTATACTTAAGCATATATTATCCATATATATATATACACATGTAAAAATGTGTCTGCGATCAGACGCAAGTTGGACCGGGATTCTTCTGCAATGAACCGAAAGGCAACATATTACGGGGACGACATGGGGAAGACAATCTCGATCCGGGACCTCCCTCTCATGAAGCTGCCGCCGGTGATGAAGATGTGGTACATGTCTGTTTGTCTGTCCGTCCGTCCGTCCGTCTGTCTGTTCGTCTGTTTGTCGGTCGGCCTCTTTGCATGTATGCATGCATGTATGCATGCTGGAACCGTTAGTACAAGACACATACATTGCACATATACCTGCGCATGTGCAGCATACATATATCGCTCACACATACATGTCATTCTCACTCTCTTGACTCATGCATTCCTCGCATGCCGGTGGCTGCGCATGTCTGTTTTCCACAGGTCCAGACTCCGCCACCCATGCCTCCGACGCAGATGCCTCCCGACCTCGATGCCTTCGGTGGGGATGCCCAACGGTTGCAAGCCTTAGGACATGTAGACTTCTGTGAGGCTTTCAGCGTTGAAGATTTACGGTCTCAAGGTTCTGCAGCTTAGGGCCTCGGGGCTGAGGGCTCTGAGTTTGGAGCTTCAAGCCTTTGTGGCGCTTCAGGGATTAAGTGGTGCAAACTTGGAATATGTGACGTGATTGAGATTTGTTGGTGCCGGGTTTCACAGTCGTAGGTATGCCTCAACCCTCACGTGAGAGGGAGCGCTTCGAGGAGGTAAGCTAAGCAAGCACACCTGGAAACTTAAACCAACAAACCCTAGATCCAAGACTCCAGGCCATGTGATCCACGCATCGAATCGGTGCTGTTTTATTGTGTGTACGTGCAAGTTTAACCCGGAAGTTGCGCAGCCGGGCTTGCGGATCTCTTAAGCTTCAGCCTAAAATCTTCAAAAGTGCTCATGGTGCAGAGTTGCGTCCGGCTTTCCGAGTTGGGATTAGGTCACGAGCCTCCAAGTCTGGAAGTGCCCAAACCTTATCCGAAAGCAGCCTAGACTCAGTCTGCAATCCCGACTCGAACCCCCTAAATCGGCAAAACCCAACCCTAAACAATCTTATTGCAGCCCCAAGGGATTAAATCCGGAACCCTTACGTAACCCTCAAATGCGACAGGAGACGAAGAGCTGTGGCCTGACTTCCTTGGACATGAACCTCAAGGGTCCATGTACTCTAGAGGGGCCTAAATAACTACCAATACTATTGTGAGGGTTCCTTATTATACTTATAGTATAGATTCAACCCGAACCCTATTCTAATTATTATATTACCCTTGTAAGGGTTCCGTGAAGGGCTCCTTTGAAGGTACTATAACGAAGGGCTTTGAGAAGGGGGCACTTCAGGCTACCAAAAACGCCATGGTTTAGGTTAGGGGATAAGGATCCATGTGCTTCTCTAGGCTATTCTTGGCCCTGAAGTTTCTTTGTAGGGAGGCCAGCGTAACGAAGATGTAGGTAGGATACTTTAGTGTGGCTTTGTTTGGGTGTAAGGCCTATGGCCCATGAACAAGACACGCGTTTGATGAAGGGGTTTTAACACTCAGTGCCGAGGCATAATTGGGCACAATCAGTGGTTGATGTGCGATTCCCCATTACAGCTAGTCCTAAAAATCCCATTGAAATACTGCCTTTCGGAATCAGACATGCCGTGAACCCCGCTTCTCTGCTCCTGAAATTGCTACCCATCCAAGAACCTCACCTATCAATGCTTGACTGTTGGCGCCTCGCAATCGGCTTTGCCGTTCTTCTTGTATCAAAGACTAAGACGAGCATCGCAGGCATGTGCAACCTCACCGACCTGTTGCAATGTGTGTGAGAGTCGGACCCCACTTCGTACATACTTTGAACAACCAAATGCTGTTTTTTTCCATAGTGCCCATAAATACCGTATTAGGGTCTATAATGTTGATGGCAGTTTGAGTCATTTTGAAAAAGACTCGAATCACAGCGTCGCGACGCGAAAAAGGATGCCGGACATGATCCGATGTGGAACCGGATTGAACTTCCGAAGCCATCTGAAAAGTCCCTAGCCGAAGTCCCCAGGTCTTCCAATATCAATCAATTTATAAAGGAATAATGAAGCAATATAGGTCTTATTATAAGGATATCTAGATTTCATTATCCTGAAATTATGGTTGATTCAAGGAGTGCATACTGTAATTGCATATTGAGATGAAACAGCAGCCCCCCTTTCCCCCCGCCCCCGCCCCCGCCCCCCACCCACCCACCCACCCACCCACCCACCCACCCACCCACCCACCCACTCTGCAAAGGCAGAAGCTCCGCTGCGGCCTGCGCCGCCCGCCAACAGTTTCTCGTTCGAATTCCTAAACCCTAATAAGAGTTTGAGTTTAAGAGTTTAGGAGTTTTCATCGGGTGTAGAGGGCTTAGGATTAGGGAAGTTACGTTGCTTTGGGTATCAGGGGGTCGAGTGCATATCTTTCTGACCATTACCCTTTCGGGCTGCCTCAGTTTGTGAGGCTTATTCTCCGAAGAGTCTGGCAGTTCAGATGTTCGGGATAAGGCCGTAATGAAACTTTGGGTAGGCAAGCGTGGCTGGGCACCGGTTGCTGGCGGTGCCGGTGCTTTTTGGCATATTTGATGTTAGTTTCAACACCCAGTGTAGTGGAGGAAGTCGTCATTGTCGGCGTCAAGTCAACACTGTGGATGCTGACGCAGATGATGCCAGTGCTGCTGCTCTTGCTGCTACTACTGCTGCTGAATGTCAGAGTGAGGCGGAGAAAGAACAAGCACTTTGAAACCAAGAGACAAGGAGGGAGAAAAGCGACAGGGGGGAAGAGGGTGACAGAGACGTGGAGAACCACGCAGAAAACGACAAGAGATCCCGGCAATCCTATCCAGCATGACATCACCTCGACCCGAGCAGTACAAGTAGAGTATCAGCTACATAGTGCCGGGACTCGCATCACGCACAGTCATGATACTGGGAGCCACAAGGAGCTGCCTCCGCCCCAAGATGGCGTGGAGACTCTAGGCGCGCAGGGTTGGGGTACAGAAACGGGCCAGGGTCTGTATGCTTGTTTACTTTCCGAGCCCCGCAATCGTTACATATCATCCCTGGCTTTTCCGCAGTACGACTCTTGGATACTGTGAATTTAGTTTTCTTCTTTTGGCTTAGGGCCCGCCCCCCCCCCCACAGGGATCTCCAGGAAAAGATGCATTGCTGTTTTGCTTGCCAAGGGGAGTAGATGAGTAGAGTTCATTCCAGTACCTGCTTATGATGTTAGCTATTGTTCAGGTTCGGGTTTCAGACCCCTCGGGGGCTCCAAGGGCGAAGACTTGTGTTCGATTTCCGGGCTTCAGGAACTAATCGCCAAGGTCTCGAGGAAAAGCGGAGTCAGAGTTGAACCCTGAAGCCCTCATGATACTGGGGCGGGAGTTGGCCGGGGTACTTTAGGGTGGAGCAGCCACAATCATGCGATTGGGCGCAGGATCACTGTAAGACAGTCTGCGGCAGGCAGGTCGGATTGTTGGACGTATAGAGGATCGCTTTGTGAGTCAGGCCTACACAGGTCTTGATGCACCAAACGGAGCAAAGAGCTACACCCACCAACCCCAACCCCGACGAGACGATCTAAGGGTTAGCCTCAAACTGAAACCCTTAAACTCCTGAACTCTCCTAAACCCTATAAGCCCTATCAATCCTAATCCTAAGCCCTACACCACGCCTGGAACCCTGAGCTGCCGAGGGGATGAGCCCTGGTTCGCAGACCCCACCGTGCGCTTAGCCCTCCGCGATGCCGTGGATGCGGCCTTGCTGCAAGAGTTTCGGGCTTTTTCTTGCCGGTCCTGTAGGGTTTGTAGGTTTTAGGGTTTATACGCCTTTTAAAGGCTCTATAATAGGGCTTCAGATCTTCGCTTCGGGTCTCATGCGCTGAGGGTCTCTCGGGAGGTTATAAAGCTGTCGGGTCTCCCCGCTTTAGTGTCCCAACTCTCGCTGCCCTGGCTCGGGCTTCGAACGGCAAACAGCCACCACCCGAGAATCGAGCACAGTGTGGTCAGTTCAGCAGGGTCAAGGTCGTAGCGCTCAAGCAACCCCAAGCAAAACCTCTTAAAAACTGATCGAGACCCGGAGCAGCGCACATCGAATCTGGCTAGGGGGCAAAGCACTGCAAGACTTGAATTTTAAGCGACCAGCTCCGCGACTGGAACTCTTCAACCATCCTTTTAGTTGGCAACATGCACTTGTGGCAATCCCAGCATCCCACACATCACACTTATGAGTCCTGGCGCATCTATGAGGAACCCAAAGTTACTTCCGAACTTGAAGTACCAGGGGGCTTAGCAGACTTAGCAAGTATAATTGGGTCATGAGTACGTTGTAATCTAGTGTTAACCATAGCCCCCAACTAGAGTGCTTCGAACCCTAGTCACTAAGTCGCTTGATCCTCCAAACAGGCCGGGACCATCTCCACTTTTGTCAGCGTTTGCTTTAGGCATGTGTTGTATAGCTTATGTTTGGAAGAAAGACATATATATATATATATAT